ATTCTCCAGCTTCAGGTCTCGGTAGATGATGCCCAGCTGGCAGGAGCAAGAGAGACGCTGGGCTTCCTACGTTCAAACCCTCCCCGTCCCCACAGCTCACACTCTTGCACCAGGTCCTGGTTCAGGACAAGGAGACCTCTATGGCAAAGCTTTGCACCCACAGAGAGGACCCTAGGATGCATGAGTGGGCGCTAAAGAGCTAGGCCCATATACAAGGAAAGCCACAGAAGATACACAGCAAGAAGAAGGCCCCAGGGAACAGACCAAAAGGTCTTGGAGAGAGGAGAGTCTATTTAAAGGGGGCCCCCCCATATCAGCCAGGTACAGGTGGCTCAGGGCTGTAATCCTAGCTACTCAGGAGGTTGAGATCTGAGGAAAGTCCATGAGATTTGGGGTTTTTTTTTGGGTCAGTTGTGGGCTTGAATTCAGGGCCTGAGCGCTATGATCTTTTTTTATAACTCGAGGCTAGCGTTCTACCACTTTGAGCCAAAGCACCTCTTCCAGTTTTCTAGTGGTTAACTGGAGATAAAAGTCTCCTTCCTCCAGCTGACTTCAAACCTTGATCATCAGATCTCAGCTCCCAGAGTAGCTAGGATTACGGGCATGAGCCACAGGTACTTGGCCCATGAGACTCATCTCCACTTCACCACCAAAAAGTCAGAGGTAGAGCTGTAGCTCAAGTAGTAGAGTTGTCAGCCCTGAGCAAAAAAGCTACAGGACAACACCCAGGCCTCAAGTTCAAAGCTTTGAGGCACATACACACACACACACACACACACACACACAATAGTCTCATTTCAAGGAGGCCTTGCAGCCAAAGCCTGAGGTCTCTGTTTGAGGAAGTTCTGGGTAGGTATCCCCAAGTTCCTGCAAGAGGAAAGCCCCTTGTAGGAGGTGCCAGAGGAGGAGACCCTTCCAGGCAGTACCAAGGCTTCCTGCCAGGAAGCCTGCACAAGCAACTCATCTTCACCAAGGCTACCACACGCCCCAGGAAGCCCAGAAGGAGACCCACAGCTGCCATGTTTGTAGATCCCTCATTAGCCCCAGATCTCCCAGCAGCCACCAGGAGCCATGTCCTCACCCACCTTGTGCAGGTGCTCCAGGGCCAGGATGATCTCACCCCCATACACTCGCACCTCGGCCTCCTTGAAGTACTGGCGCTGGTAGAGGTGGGTGAACATCTCACCGCCACTCACGTAATCTGGAGGGTGAATGGCAGTTGGCTTCTCCCCCATCGAGTGGCCTCACCGGTCCCTGTTTGTTTGCCTCCCCCCCACCGAGGTTGGGATGTGGCCTCTCCTCACCCAGGATGAGGTGCAGCTTGGCATCTGTCTGGAAGGCGTAGTGTAAGGTCACCAGGAAGGGCGCCTGGCGCACCAGCTCCAGCACCGAGCGCTCGGTGCGCGTGTGCTCCTGCGTCTTGGCGCGCTGTACCAGGGCTGCCTTACGCAGCACCTTCATGGCATACAGCTTCCCTGCGTCGTGCCCACCCGCTTTCCGCACCAGGAACACCTTCCCGTAGGCTGTGGGAGCATGGGGGGGAGGGGAGAGGGAGGAAGGAGAGGAAGAGGCTGTGAGTGGGAGGGCGGTGCAGACTGCTGGGGGCGGGGTATGCAAATTGAGAGTAAGAGGCAGGTGTGCAAAATGTTGGCAGAGCCTTCTGGAAAAGGTGTGCCCACCCCCGGAGGGTGCGCAGTGAAAACCAGGGAAGTGATGGGCACAGCAGCTCAGGGAGTCTGCAATTCCTGGGAGGCGTGGGGGGGGGAGGGGGAGGAACATGTGCAAACCTGCCAGAGATCAGAGGGATGGGAAAGGCTGCAAATGCAAGGAAGAGAGGCTAGGTGCGGCTACAGGCAGGGGAGGACTGTGCAAACTAGGGCCTGGGAGTTTGTAAAACGTAGTGGGGCACCCGAACACGGGGATTGGGGATGGGGAGGAGCTATGCAAATCACAGGGGGCTTGGGGGACAGGGAGGGGCTATGCAAACTGCAGGGGGCTGGGGGATAGGGAGGGGCTATGCAAATCGCAGGGTGGTTGGGAATGGGGAGGTGCTATGCAAATCTTAGGGGGCTTGAGGGATGGGAGGAGCTATGCAAATTGAAGGGGACTTGGGGGGATGGGGAGGAGTTTTGCAAATCCCAGGGGGGGGTGGGGATGGTGAGGAGCTATGCAAATCGCAGGAGGCTTGGGGGGGCAGGGAGGGGTTATGCAAATCACAGGGGGCCTGGGGTCTAGGAGGGGCTATGCAAACTGCAGGGGGCTTGGGGATGGGGAGGAGCTATGCAAATTGAAGGGGCTTGGGTGGGGAGGGGCTATGCAAATCGCAGGGGGCTTGGGGACGGGGAGGGACCATGCAAATCACGCAGGAAGCCGGCTAATTGAGGCTAGGGGCCAGCACATACAGGACCTGGCAGGGAGAAATGATGTCCAGGCAGAGCGTCCTGGAAGTGGGCATGGAACCCTGGCACTGTAGGGCGGGGGTGCCGGGAAAGATGGGGGGAGGCCTCCTCAGTGGCCCTGGCCCAGGCCCAGACAAGAAGAGAGAGGCCCAGAGCACCACGCCGTGGGGACACCTGCCCGGCGATCGGGGATCCTCACCTCCCGTGCCCAGCACCTTGAGCAGCTCGAAGTTCTCCACGCTCACCTTCTCCTCGTGCCCGGTCAGATTGGCTGTGGGCACAGGGGGTGAATGAGCCCAGCTGGCCCCGACCCCCTCCCCGGCTCCTGGGGCGGCCATCGCCAGACCCCGCACCGACCGTCAGTGATCCGCAGCTCCACGGCGCGGCCCTCGTCCTCATCCTCGTCCCCCATGGCAGGCGGGAAGCCGGGGGGCCGCGCGCGGCTGGGCTCCGGGCGGCGCCGGTTACATGGCGGCTCCGGCCGGGGCGGGTGCTTCCTGGTGCCGCCTCTGGGGCCGAGCGGGCGCCGGCGCCGCCTCCCGGCACCCCGCCCCGCGGCCTGAGTCAGGCGGCAGGAACGTGACCGCGCCAGGGCTGCGGGTGGGCGGCCGCGGGGGCAGCCCCGGCTCCCGAGTCCCGGGCAGGCCTCAGGGCTGCAAGCTGGGGGACCCCCTCCCACCCTCCTGGGGAGCTGGAAACGCTGGCGGAAGCAATGAGGGGGCCCTGAATAACCCACGGCTGCTCTTGGGTACGCCCTCGAGGGGTACGCCCCCGAACTTGGTCGGCCGGGGGGGGGGGGGGGGGAGAGGGGGAGGGGGCTCCAGCTGGGGGAAGGGTGCCCACGGGTCACAGAGCTCTCCCTCCCACCCTGCAGACACGCTTCTTGGCTCTTACTACAAATCACAGTCCTCCCCCTCCTTTCTCATCTCTATGTCTCCCCCCCCCAATACCTCAGGCCAGCTGCTACCCACACAACCTCGGTCCAGCACTTCTAACTTATCTGGGTCTGGCTTTTGGTACTGGACCACTGGGAGGAGACCTGAAAAAGAAGGAGAGTCCATGGCTCTGGGCAGTAGCTCACCCCTGTAATCTCAGCCCCTCTGGAGGTGGAGACGAGGGGGATTTCATTTCAAGGCCAGCACAGGTAAAAAGCTGTCAATATTCCCCACCTCAATACACTAACACAGTGCAAGAAGGATCAAGTCTGAGGCTGGGCAAAAAACACAAGACCCTGTTCAAAAACATAACTAACCTGATAAGGCCAGGCGCCATGGCTCAAATGGTAGAGCACCTGCCTAGCCAGGCCCTGAGCTCAAACTATAGAATGATTTTTTTCTTTTTTAATCTTGTGTGTGTGTGCAAGTACTAGGGCTTGAACTCAGGGCCTGGGTGCTGTCCCTTAGCATTTTCACTCAGGGCTAGCAGTCTACAACTTGAGCTACTGCTCCCTCCGGACTTTTTCAGTAGTTAACTGGAGATAAGAGTCACAGAAGCCCAGCACCAGTGGCTCACGCTTGTCATCCTAGCTACTCAGGAGGCTGAGAGGATCATGTGGTTCAAAGCCAGCCTGGGCAGGAAAGTCCATGAGACTCTTATCTCCAATTAACCACCAGAAAACTGGAAGTGGCACTGTGGCTCAAGTAGTACTCACCTTGAGCTGAAGAACTCAGGAACAATGCCTAGGCCCCGAGTTCTAAGCCCCACGACTGACAAAAAAAAAAAAAATCATCTCACAGACTTTCCTGCCCTGTCTGGTTTTGAATAGATCTGAGCCTCCTGGGTAACTAAGATTATAGCCTTGAGCCACTGAAGCCTGGCATGATTCAATTTTTAAAAATAGAGGTTTCTGGGGAGGTCTCATCAGGCCCAGAGATCCTGAATGGCTTATCCCAGGGGCCACCAAAGAGGGTTGGCAGCCATTAGGTCCCCTGACACTGAGGCCCATAGAAAGGTCCCTCAGCTTGTCTGCTGACTGGAGGCTGAGGGGCCACCCAACTCCATTATCCTATGAGGGTCTTGCTGAGAAAAAGGGAGCCAGGCTGCAGAAGGTCGCCCTGGGAGGGCAGGTTACACTGGGAAGGCGGGTCACACTGGGGAGGCAGCACTACTTACCTCCAGACTTAGCTGCCTCATCCAAGCCCCAGGCGGCTCCACCCTCCCCTGCGCAGCCTCAGGTACCCTGACTCACATCCTGCCGCCAAGCCCAATTGTCCTCCTTCCCAGACATCACCCTAGAGGGTCAGATCAGAAATCTGGGGTGCCTCCTGGGCTGGCTGGACTCCAAAGAGCCAAGGGAAAGAAGATGCAGAGGCAGGAAAATGTGAACAGAGGGAAGGTGCCTTGGGTGAGGGCGGAGCCTGTCATGGCCCCGCCCACTGCTAGCTACCCAGCCAGGCACCCTCTTCCCCATCCCACTGGCACATCCAGGTTATGGCAAGGCCAACTGGCCACACCCCATCATCCTTTGCTGCCTAGCCTAGGCAGGGGACGGGCCTTTGGCACAGACCCCTAACAAACAGGAAGTGTCCCTCTCTCCTCCTACTGCCAGGCCACCCTCCCCTTCCTCCAAGAAGCCAGCTGACACAAAGCAGATTCCAGGGGGGTTGCATCCCAGCTTTATTCTCCTGTCTCACATCCCAGCTAAGGCTCAGGCATCAGCCCAGGCCACAGTCCCCAGGGAGTGGGCCCTGGTGCGTCTGCACCGTGGAGGGGGCTCTCTTGCCCATTCTTGCCAGCCTCCTGAAACTGGGGTATCCCCCAGAGACCGTCGTCTCAGTGATGGCCGTATGGCAGGCCCTGAGGCCCGGCCAGGGGCCACACATGGGGACCAGCCATCCCCCCTGTCCACAGGCTTGTCCCAGCTCCATTCCAGAGCCCCCGTGTGGGTGGTGGAGGACCTGAAGGTCCAGTCCTCTTTGTCCAAGCTCTCCCTTTGGGCACCAGGGCTCCCCAAGCACTTGAGCTGCCTGCGGCTGTAATAGGTGCTCCGCTGGCAAGAGGGTTGGACTCCCAAGGGTCTTGTCCCCATAGTGTCACTGGCTGAGGGAAGGGGTGAGGGGACGTTTCTCCAGGTCTTCATGGCCTAGAGGGAAAAAACTCAGCTCAGGCTCAGCTCCCCACGACTCCCAGCATCCAAGGCGGCTCCCAGGGCCGGGCACCACTACCCACCCTCTGCTCCTCAGGCCTACCTCTCACTACTGCATCTACCAGTCCTTGAACACACCAAGCTCTCCCCTAAACTCTCACTCCAAGCCTCTGTTCCAATTTGACCTCTTCTATGAGATCTACCTACCCCAGCACCCTCATGAAACTCCAACCTGCTTACTGGGCTCTAAAGGCTCATCCTAGCTACTTGGGAGACGGAGACTAGAAGGATTGCGGTTCAAAGCCAGCCTGAGCAAACATGTTCATAGACATCCTTCTCAACTAATAGCTGGGTATGGTGCTGCATGCCTGTCATCCTAGCTATATGGGAACTGAAATCAGGAGAAGAGAGGTTCCAGGCCCAGGCATTCAAGTCTGAAAGACTTATCTCCATGGAAGATGCTGGACATGGTAGTGCATGTCTGTCATGCCAGCTACAATAGAGAGCTTCGAAGGTGGATCAATCCAGGTGTGCATGTGGGCAGGAAGTAAGACCCTATCTCAAAAATAGCCAGTGCAAAGCCAGGTGCTGGTAGCTCACCCTATAATCCTAGCTACTCAGGAGGCTGAGATCTGAGGATCTTGGTTCAAGTCTGCCTGGGCAGGAACGCCTGTAAGACTTTTTTTTTTTTTGGCAGTAATGGGGCCTGAACTTTGGACCTGAGTGCTGTCCCTCAGCTCTTCAGCTCAAGACTAGTGCTCTACCACTTGAGCCACAGCACCACTTCCAGTTTTTTCTGCTTATGTGGTGCTGAGGAATGGAACCCAGGGCCTCATGCATGCAAGGCAAGCACTCTACAACTGAGCCACCTTCCCAGCCCCTCTGTGAGACTCTTATCTCCAATTAACCACCAGAAAACCAGAAATGGCGCTGTGGCTCAAGGGTAGAGCACTTGCCTTGAGCTGACAAGCTCAGGGACAATGCCCAGGCCCAGAATTCAAGACCTACAACTGACAGCAAAAAAAAAAAAAAAAGCCAGTGCAGCTGGCTCAGTGGTAGAGTGCTTGCCTAGAATGCATGAAGCCCTGGGTTCAATTCCCCAGTACCACATAAACAGAAAAAGCTGGAAGTGGTGCTGTGGTTCAAGTGGTAGAGCATTAGCCTTGAGCAAAAGAAGCTCAGTGACAGCGTCCAAGCCCTGAGTTCAAGCCCCAGGACTGGCAAAAATAAATAAATATGCCCAGTGCAAAAAAAAAGTCTAGAGGGACTCAAAGGTAGAATGCTTGCCTAGCAAGTGAGAAACTCTGAATTCAAACCCCAGCACCATCAAAATACGAAAGGGTCCAACTTGCTCACCAGTACTCCTGACCCTCCCCCTGCTCTGCTTTCTTTCCTGGGCATCCACACCCCCAGCAGGAGTGGCTGAGCTGCAAAGGCACCAGCAGCCGCTCCACACCCGACCCAAACTGTGTTTGCCTGGGAAATGCCAGAGGGACTTAAAAAGTCAAGCGCCAGTACCCACTGATTATGTAAAACGGCACTTGTTTAGGCAAACTGAGTTAAATATGTTATTCATTCATGTTATTCATATCGTTTTACTTTTTTTTTTTTTTGGTTCTGGGGCTTGAACTCTGGGCCTGGGCATTGTCCCTGAACTCTTCAGCTCAAGGTGAATGCTCTACCACTTGAGTCACAGCACCACTTCTAGTTTTCTGGTGGTTTATTGAAGATAAGAGTCTCATGGCCTTTCCTGCCTGGGCTGACTTTGAACAGTGATCCTCAGATCTCAGCCTCCTGAGTAGCCAGGTGCAAGCTACCAGCACCCAGCTAGACAATTATTTTTTTCTTTTTCTTTTATTTTTTTGGTTGGTTGTGGGGCCTGAACTCTGTGCCTGGGCGCTGTCCCTCAGCTCTTCAGCTCAAAGCTAGCACTCTACTATTTAAGCCACAGTGCTACTTCCTGCTTTTTCTGTTTATGTGGTGCTGAGGAATCGAACCCAGGGCCTCATGCCTGAGAAGCATGCACTCTACCACTGAGCCACCTTCCCAGCCCTACACAATTATTTTTATGCATAGTATTTTCTGTCTGCCCCTCCCATACTAGAATGCTCCCTGCTAGTTCCCCAATAGCGCATCCACTGGCATTTGGTTAAGAAAGTGGTCAGGTAAGAGGATGGAGCCCTGGGTAGGGTGGATGGCTCACTCCTTCCTTCCCCACACCTCTACTCACCTTCTCGGTTTCCATCTGCTTCTTGTTCCGGGAGGGTCTCAATGGAGCCGTCCCATTCCACACCAGAGCCTGGGGAGCACAAAGTGGCTGCTGGGCTGGGAACCAGAATAGGGGTGGATGGGGCTCGCAGGGCCATGAATCACAGAATGCCTCTCCCCCAAGGCTGGGGGACAGACAGGAGCAAGAGCCTCATCCCTCACCTTTGCCATGGGCACTGGGCGCCCCCAGGGGGCCTGGCCTTCTCTGTCGGAACCGCTGGCGCGGGGTGTCCCCTGGGCTGAATGACTCTGAGTTTCTCCCCACAGGGAAGCGGGAGCTGAGTTTCCTCCGCTGCCTGCCTGCCAGCGTCTCCTCTCGCAGGCAAAGGGAGCTCTGGGCCCGGCGCATGGGGGCTGGAGACGGGGACCCTAAGGGAGGCAACGCAGGGAGGGGTGAGCTGAGCAGAGAGGCCTGTGGGTGAAGCTGCCTAGAGCAGGAAGAGAGGCACAGAGCGGAGCAGGGGAAGGGCCAGGGCCGTCTCGGGAAGCTGGACCTGGGCTGGTTCACTGTGGGATCTTGAGCCTTCCCACCCCTCCCTGGGCCTCAGTTTCCTCCTCTGCCATCTAGGAGCCATGTAGGATAAATGGCTTCTCCCTAAAGTACTCTGTCCCTCGGAGGTGGACTATGGGACCCTGCAGGGCAAAGAGCCACGGAAGTGGGGACACAGGGAGAAGGGACGGACAGGCCAAGCAGAGCAGTAGGCATGGGGGGAAGGGAGGAGGGCTGAACACACTGGGTGGGGGCCTCCTGAATACCTGAACCCCCAGACCCACCTGTCCCATCTGCCTCCCTGCCCAGGGGGAGCTCCGTCTCCAGGGGTCCCCCCAGGCTCTCAGTGCTGCCAGCCCCATCAGCCCCCAGCCGTGGCCCCCCGGGGAGGACTCCCTCCCTCCGGGCCCGCATCAGCCTCTTCACCTTGTCTGCCAGCCAGCTGCCCTTCCTGGGAGCAAGAGGGCACAAGAAGGGTAAGGTGGGAGGAAGGAGGGGGAGGGGAGGAAGGTAATGTTAGGGACAGCAAGGACCAGGCCAACCCTCACTGGGGCCTGCACCCAATCTGGGCCAGGGGTTGGAGGGCTGGGCAGGGCAGGGCTGGGCAGGGCAGGGCGGGTATTAGCAGGATCCTGGCTCGGGGGAGGGAGGGAATCCTCACTTGGTGCGGGGCAGAGGCCCAGGCTCCAGTACACGATATTGGTCCATGATCTTTTCTACCAACTTCTGTTTCTCCCGGCGAAGGGCATTAAGCTGATCCCTGCGGGGGAGGGGGTGGGCGGGCATGAGGCCTTGGGGAGATACAAGTGGAAGGAGATATACCCCAATGCCACCTGGAGCTTTGTCCATTTGGGGGAGAGGGGTTGTTTGTTTGTTTTTTGCCAGCCCTGGGGCTTGAACTCTGTCAGGGCCTGAGCACTGTCCTGAGCTTCTTTTGCTCAAGGCTAGTGCTCTGCCACTTGAGCCACACGCCACTTCCAGCTTTTTCTGTGTATGTGGTCCTGAGGACTCGAGCCCAGGGCTTCATGCACGTGAGGCAAGCACTCTACCACTAAGCCACATCCCCAGCCCTCACTGCTTTTTCTAGCACCTCCCAGAGGCTCTCCAGGGCCCTGCCCAGCGGCTCACAGGTACTGGCGCTGCTCACGGTGGAGGTTGTCCCTGCTCTCCAGGCTGCGCTCCAACAGCTCCCTGTTCTCCCGGCTCAGGGCCTGCACCTCAGCCAGCAGCTGCCGATTCTCCTCTTCCTGTGCGCTCCGCAGCTGGGTCAGCAGCTGGGGATGTTCGTCAGGACAGGGTGAGACTAGCTTGGGGGCATCCTGGCCTGCTTCAGTTGTCACACACACACACACACACACACACTCCATACCTCGCACTGTGTGGTCAGGCGGCAGGCGCTCAGGTCCAGCTGCTGGTTGGAATCACGCAGCTTCTGGCTCTGCATCTCCAGCTGGGACCGCTCCAGCTCCAGCCGGGCCAGGCGGCCCCGCAGCTCCCCACGTTCTCCCTGCAGCTCCCCTCGCTCTCGAGACAACTCTGCCAGCAGCATCTGAGCTCTTTGGAAGCAAGGCGGGCTGCTCGGGAGGCCCAGAAGCAAAGCAGGACCCACAGGGACAAACAACCCACTTTCCGGAAGGATGGGTGGGATCAGCGTGAAGGCCCGGGCGAGACGGCGCGTGCGCACACACCGGCTGCTCACCTGTCGTGTTCGCTCTGCAGCCTCCGCAGCTCCTCCTCCAGGCCCCGCTGCCGATGCCCATCCTGCATCAGCCGTTCCCGCTCTGCCAGTAGAGCCATCTCCTGTGCCTCCACGTTGGCCCGCTGGGCTTGCAGCTGCTCGTGTCTAAGTGGACAAGATCCTGAGACCCTGCCGGAGCCTGGGGCCAAGGCGATTAGGTGCAGGACTGTGGGGACCCAAGTATAAGCCCCACCCCCCTTCTCGGGCAAAACCACTGGGCACAATGGCATGTCAGATGCCACCACTCCCAACAGGTGAACCTAACCTAGAAGCTGGGGAGACTAGATCTCCCCCCCCCCCGCCCCCACACACACCAGGGCACAACAGCAGCAGGGTGACATGGAGCAGAGGTGGAGATCCCAAGGCACCCACAGGCTTCCAGGAGAGGAGCCCGCTGAGGAAACTCACCGGCCCTGCAGCTCCCGGTGAGCCAGCTCCAGGGCACGCATATTGGCCTTGAGGTCTCGGTGCCGCACCAGCAACCCCTCCAGCTCGGTCTCTTGCCGCCGCTGCAGCTGGACCAGGGCCTCGTGGTCCCGCAGCAGAGACTGCTGCTGCCCTCGGGTTTCCTCGTGGGCTTGCCGTGCAGCCCGCACCTCCTCCTCCAGCACCCCCAGCTTCCGGTGCAGCTCCTGGCCCTGTATCTCCATCATCGACTTCTCAGCCTAGGGCAAAGGAGGGAGCATGAATGCAGAGAGAGAGGACTAACACCGGACTACTGCAGTGAGACTCCAGACGGAGTCTCAGATCCAGGGAAATAAGGGACCTGGGTTGAAGGCTGAGGTCAAAAAGATAGCTAGGGCTGGGAAGGTGGCTCAGTGGTAGAGTGCTTGCCTTGCATGCTCGAGGCCCTGGGTTCGATTCCTCAGCACCACATAAGCAGAAAAAGAAAGCCAGAAGTGGTGCTGTGGCTCAAGTGGTAGAGTGCTAGCCTTGAGCTGAGAGTCAGCACCTAGGCCCAGAAAGCTGCAGCCAGGTGTCAGTGGCTCACGCTTGTAATCCTAGCTACTCAAGAGGCTGAGATCTGAGGATCGTGATTCAAAGCCAGGCTGAGCAAGACAGTCCGTGAGACTCTTTTTTTTTTTTTTTTAATAAGTTTTTATTGTGAGAATACTGTTACATGAGCAAGGTAATGAGTACTATGAAACTCTGATCTCTAATAAGCCACCAGAAAACTGTAAGTGGCACTGTGGCTCAAGTGGTAGAGCACTAGCCTTGAGCTGAAGAGCTCAGGGACAGTGCCCAGGTCCAGAGTTCAAGCCCCATGACTGACAAAAAAAAAAAAGCTGCAGGTAGGTGTGAGTGGCTCACGCCAGTAATCCTAGCTATTCCAGAGGTTGAAATCTGAGGATCTCAGTTTAAAGACAGCCCAGGCAGGAAAGTCCATGAGACTCTTATACCCAATTAACCAGCAAAAAGATGAATGTGGAGGTATGGCTCAAGTGGTAAAGTGACAGCCTTGAACAAAATAGCTTAGGAACAGCGTGCAGATCCTGAGTCCACGCCCCAGTACTGCCACAGAAAGAGACAGACAGACAGACAGACGGAGAGTATAGCATGGAGGCAGAGGGGCTAGCACAGGGCAGGTAAAGGGCAGGCTGAGGAAGAGGTTAAGGACAAAGAGACAAAGGCAAGAGAGAGGCCTTATGGGAGCTCTGTGGCACCAGACCATGCAGGGGCCCAGCACAGGGATGGACTAAAGGAGGCTGGAGTTGAGAGCACAGGAGAGGTGAAGACTACAGGAGGGCTGGGACGGCCAGGCCGGGGAGGCGCAGATGCGGCAGCTGGAGCAGGGCGGGATGGCGGGGCTTCGAGGGCAAGGACAAGGGAACTGGGAACGAGAGAGGGGCAGCTGGCAGGGGAGGCAGGGGAGAGGCAGCGGAGAGGGAGGAGGGCAGAGGGAGGACAGCACCTACCTGCAGGCGGTTGCTGAACTCGTGGGCCCGCTGACTCTGGAGCAGCAGCTCCTGCGCCCGGCCCTGAAGGCTCCCCAGCTGCCCCTCCAGGAGCTGCAGCTGCCCCTGCAGAGCGGCCTTCTCGGCCACCAGGGTCGCGTTCTGCCGGAAAGCAGGGTTAGCAGTGGCCATGTGGCTGCCCCCCAGCCCCGGCCCCGTGTCCCGCACAGTGTCACTCACACTGCGCTCCACCTCCACCAGCCGCACAGAAGTCTTCTTCTCGAGGTGCTCCTCAGGCCCCCGTCCTGCAGGGCCCTGACGAAGCTGCAAAAACAGGTGCAGAGGGTCATGCAGGGCGGCGGCAGGGCTTGAGGAGGGTACAGGAGCCCCCTCCTTCAGCAGGGCATCCGAAACAGTGAGTGACAATGGCGCTGATGGCTGTGTTGCTGGAAGTTGGGGAGCACCAGCCACAGAGGCAGAGCAGTCACCCCAAGAACAAGGTTTCCTTTCTTTCTTTTTTTTTTTTGTGCCAGTCCTGGGGCTTGAACTCAGGGCCTAGGCACTGTCATTGAGTTTCTTTTGAGCAAGGCTGGCTCTTCACCACTTGAGTCACAGCACAACTTCCAGCTTTTTCTGAATAGTTTATTGTAGATAAGAGTTTCACAGCCTTTCCTGCCTAGGCTGGTTCAAATTGTGATCCTCAGATCTCAGCCTCCTGAGTAGCTAGTATTACAGGCATGAGCCACCTAAGCTAGAGAACCAGCATCAAAAAAGAAAGAAAGGCCGAGCACCGGTGGCTCACGCCTGTAATCCTAGATAGGAAGCTGAGATCTGAGGTCACGGTTCAAAGCCAGCCTGGGCAGAAAAGTCCATGAGGCTCTTATCTCCAATAAACCACCAGCAAGCCGGAAGTGATGCTGTGGCTCAAGAGGTAGAGCACTAGCCTTGAGCTGAAGAGCTGAGGGACAGCGTTCAGATCCAGAGTTCAAGCCCAACCATCAACCAACAAAAAAAAAGGGAAGGAAAAAAGGAAGGAAAAGAAGGAGAGGAAGGAAGGGAGGAAGGGAGGAAGGAAGGGAGGAAGGAAAGAAAAAGAAGAAAGAAAGGAAGGAAGGAAGGAAAGAAGGGAAGGAAGGAAGAAAGGAAAAAAGAAAGAAAGAAAGCTGGGCATTGGTGGCTCACGCCTATAATCCTAGCTACTCAGGTGGCTGAAATCTAAGAATTGTGGTTCAAAGCCAGCCTGGGCAAGAAAACCATGAGACTCGTATCTCTGGTAAACCACCAAAAAGCCAAAAGTGGCGCCGTGGCTGAAGTGGTAGAGCACTAGCCTTGAATAAAACAAACAAAAAAGCTCAGAGACAGCATCCAGACCCTGAGGTCAATCCTCAGGATTGGCACAAAAAGAATGAGAGAAAAAGCCGGGCGCCAGTAGCTCACACCTGTACAATCCTAGCTACTCAGTAGGCTGAGATTTGAGGATTGCTGTTCAAAGCCAGCCCAGGCAAGAAAGTCCATGAAACTCTTTTTTTTTTTTTTTTTTTAATTATTTTTTTGATGGCATATCGCCTAGTTACCAGAACGTGGGATGGCCGGAGGATTAAGTAGGAACCACCTCCATGAAACTCTTATCTCCAATTAACCACCAGAAAACCAGAAGTGGTGCTGTGGCTCAAGTGGTAGAGCACTCACCTTGAGCTGAAGAGCTGAGGGGACAGCACCCAGGCCCAGAGTTCAAGCCCCATGACCAACAAATAAATAAATAAATAAGACAGACACAGAGACAGAGCACAGGCAGTACTGGAGGCCCACTCAGGAGGCTAGTAAGAGGTAGGTTCCACATCAGACTCAGGAGCAGCCTTACCTGGTGCAGCTCTTCTTCCAGCTGCAGGGCCCGGGCCTTCAGGTCCATCAGTGCTTCCTCCTTGCTGGTTGCTGCGGCATGCAGCTCGGCTTCCAGCTGCCGCTCCAGGCCTCTGTATCTGTCAGGAAAAGCCTTGGTACCCAGCCCACCTCCCGGCCCCGGTCTGTTCCTGGGCGTCCCCTCACCTCTGGTTCTGGCACTCCTGTTCTCGAAGAAACTCCTGGCGCTCCAAGGCTGCCTGTTCCAGCTCCCGCTGCAGATGCTCCAGCCGGGCCCCCAGCTCCTGGCCCCGCACCACGGCCTTCTCCAGTTCCTGAGGACAAGCAGGGCAGGCTCAGACCATGGATGATCCATCACCCTCCTTTAGACTGAGGCTGGCATGGATCCTCTGGCTTCCTGTCCTGGAGCCACCATCCTTGACAAATACATCTAACCCTTTGAGTCTCCACTCCATCTACACCATGAGAGCAAAGCCTGGCTGTCTTGCAGGGTCCGTGTGGGGTTGTTTGGCAGGAGACCTGCTCTGGGCACGTGGCATCACCTCTTTGAGCCCATAGTTCCGCAGGTGCTCCGAGGAGATGGGGAGCCGAGCCCTTCGGGGTGCCACTCTGGCCATGTAGGGATAGTGGAGGCACTGGGCCCAGAGAGCACCCCTCCCACAGGGGCAGGTAGAACAGGAACTTGGGGATCACATCACAGGGCTAACCACAGGGAGGCAGGGGAGTTCAGGCAAGGACTTTTGGCTTTTGGCGGTTGGGCCACACCATTTCAGGAGAGAAGCAGGAGGCCCATTCTGGCTTATAGGCCCCAGAAACAGCCAGGCTAAACCATTTTGATACACCATGGGGGGGGGGAAATGGGATGAAGCCACAGGAAGGATGGTCCTGACCAGCCAACTGCCATATCCTGCCTCTGAAAATGAAGCCCCAAGCTGCTGTGGCTGCTGAGCAATCCTCCTTCAGCCCAACAACCCACCTGGCCTTACCCTGGGCCCTGTACTTCCCAACACCTGTGGTCATGGTCTCTGGTTGGAAAAACTACAAGTCCCACAAGGCATTGCAATTGGACTGGCCACTAGGGCCTTGGCTCTGCTGTGGGTAGAAAAAGGGGTACCACACAGGAAGGTGGGTGCCCGGACCCCACTCGGACCCCGCTCTGCCCTCCGCGGTCCCTGGTTATGCATGCCTTGTCAGGGCCGCTCCACCCAGTCAGGAAAGCCTCTGTACCTACATAGGATGACCCTAGAGTCCCTGGTTTTCTGCCCTGCCTGGCCAACCTGCTCCTCCTGAGCCATACCCAGCAAGTACCAAGATCTCCTCCAGCCAGGAAATCTCACAAAATTCCCTTTGTCCTCACCTTCTCCAGCCTCTTCCGGCAGCCAGCCCCACCCTCACCCTCACCTCCCACCTACGGGCTTTCCCTGTCTCACTAAGTGCATACCAAGGCCAGGTGCTGCCCCAATCCCTGACTGATCCAATAAGATCCAGCACCCATGGCTCATACCCATAATTCCAGCTATTCAGGAAGCTGAGATCTGAGGATCATTGTTAGAAGCCAGCCCAGGCAAGAAAGTCCCTGAGACTTTTATCTCCAACAAACTACTCAGCAAAAGCCTCAAGTGGCACTGTGGCTCAAGTGGTAAAGTACTAGCCTTGAGCAAAAAGCAGCTCTGGGATCAGCAACCAGGCCCAGTGTTCAAGCCTCAGGACCCGCAAAGTGAGTAAGTAAATAAATAAATAAATCTGTGAGACTCATCGTTAATTAACCACCAAAAGCCAGAAGTAGAGGCCTGGCTCAAGTGGTAGAGCCATAGCCTTGAGCAAATAAGCAAAGGGAAAACACCCAGGTGCTGAGTTTCAAATCCCCACACAAAACCAACAAACAAAATAAATCAATCTCTGTGTGCTATCTGAAAACTGAGACACAACTGGACACTGCCCAAGCCTGAATATCCAACACCCTCATGTGCAGACCACGCACAGGGCACTGGCCCCACTCCCTTCCATTACCCCTGCCATCCGCCTCTTCCCCCCTCAGTGGGGACTGATTACTGGGGAACCACATGAATAAAGCTCTTACTCTCCTCTTAGCTTGGAAGGGTTTAGGCCCTGACCAGCAGGAGCCTTGTTTCATTCATTCTCATCCTTATCTCATACACCTTTAACTCCTGTCTGGGCCGAACCTTCTCCTGCTTCCTCTAGGAAGCCTTCCCTGGTGTGTCCCACTGGAATCGTGAATGCTGTTTGTACTCCTTGGCTCCCTACACCACCCTGTCTCTACCTGGCCCAGGAGAACAATGGGCTGTCTGCCTAGTCACAGGTGTGTCCACAGGACCTGGCACCATAGACATGCCCATAAACCCATAAAATGTGGAATGAATGAATACAAGTGTTGCCAGGTATTCTGTTCATCCCTGACCTCATCCCAGCAGCCCCAGCACAGCCACTGTCCCCGGACAGCCCACCTGGAGTGGCTTTCTCTGCCTGGGGATGGAGTACCAGCCTTCTACAAGCTGGCCCCTCCTCTACCCCTCCTGGGCCCTGGGCATCTCTAATGCCTTAAAGTGTTTGTCATTCATCCCCTAGCAAAATCTTGTTCATTTCTTCTTTTCCTTCTCCTCTTCCTCTTCCTCCTCCACTTCCTCCTCCTCCTCCTCTTCTTCCTTCTCCTCCTTCTTTGCCTGTCCTAGGGCTTGAACTTAGGGCCTGGGCACTGTCCCTGAGCCTCTCTGTGCTCAGGGCTAGCACTCTACCACTTGAGCTACACAAGCCAACTTCTGGCTTTTTCTGTCTAGGTGGTACTGAGGAATTGAACCAGGGTTTCATGGGTGCTAGGCAAGCACTCTACCACTAAGCCACATGCCGGGCCCCATAACCATTTTTTTAAAATCACTAACATGCCTTTGAAGCTCTTTCCGCCCCACCCCCCCAGTCTCCTGAAAGGCCATGAAAGCCTAGAGGAAAAGCATCTCTACTTCCTCAGAGGGGGGACCACCACAGCCAGAGAGTCATGATTACACTGGACAGTCCAAGCCCCTCCTAGAACCAACCCCAGCCAGCAGCATGGGCTATGTCCAAGAAAGGCAGGGAAAGACTTGCCTTTCTATCATCTCGACCAGCTCAGGCTAGGTACTCCGTAGATAGTGATAAAATGCACAACCCCATACCCCAGTTTCCCAGCCCTGGATGTGAGCCCCAACATACCTCTTTAAGGGCCTGCTTCTCCTGACGCTCCCTTTCAGCCTCCTCCAGGTGGCCTTGGCACTCCATCTCCAACGCCTGCATCCTCTGCTCCGAGGCCTCTACTTGGGCCCGCAGCCTGGACCCCTCCCGCTCCCACTGCCTCCGCTCTCGGCCTGCTGCTGCCAGGGCCTCTGCCAGGGCCTCACGCTCACGAGACACAGCCTCCAGCTCCCGGCCAGCTGCCTCCACTGCCTCCCGAAGCCGGGCCTGCTCCTGGGCCTGGGCCTCTGCCTCCTGGTGGGCCTCGGCTTCCGCCCTCTGTGCTTGAGCCAGCTCCTCAGAGAGACGCTCAGCCTCCATGCCTCGGGCCTCCAGCCTTCGGGCTTGGGCTTCCAATTCAGCTCCAAGGACTGAAACTTGTCTCCTCAGCTTCATCACCTCCTCCCTGAGGGCCTCCAGCTCGGGGACACCATCAGCCAGGGTCTCCCCCGGGGGCGGCCCCTCCCAGGCCTGGGCATCCAGGGCCCCTTCCAACTTCAGCTGTGGCTTTTGAGGTGCTGTTTCCCCAGCCATCCCCTCCAACCTCTGTTCGAGGCCTCTGGCCGCTGCCTGGCACTTGGATGGGTCCAGTGTCTGCTCCTCCAGCAATACCTGAAGGCTGAGCTCTGACGATCCAGGCTTGTGTTCAGGGCCCTCTTGTCTCAGGACCTGGGTATTGGGCACCGATTCCCCCTGGGGGGCCTCTCTGTCCCCAGTCTCTCCTAGCACCTGCTGCACCTCAATTATGATCGCTGTACCTCGAGGTGAGGCCACAAAAGTGGGGCTCTGGGGTGAGGCTCTGACATCCGCCTTCTCCAAGGACTCCTGTGTCTCCCCAGTAGATTCTGACTTTTGGGGAGTGACATCTGAGGTCTGGACAGCCAGGGGGATCTCTTGGACGGGCCTCTCTGTCACCTCCTGGTCTGCATCAAATGCCTGGGGACACTCAGATGACCCCTTAAGAGCTGAATCTGATGTGGAGTGAGCCATGTCCAGGACCTGGGTGCCTTCACTGCCAGCCTGGCAAACCAAGCCCTTTGTGCCAGGGCCCAAGGCCTGGGGAAGCCTGGGAGCCATTTGGAGCACAGGAAGCACTGAGTCTTCACTCTGCTCCTCCAGCAGGGGGCACTGCAGACATATGAAAGGGACAGTCAGGCCCAGAGAGTGCATCTAGAGTCAAGGCAGGTGGAGGTGCGGAGGATGACTCACCTGGCTCTGGGGCTGCCTCTTCAGCACCTGCAGCAGGCTTCGAAGCTCCTGGTTCTCCCTTTCCACCATCCGCAGCCGCCCAGCCTCTGCTTCCCTCACCTCATCCTGCAGGGAGGGTCCAACTCCAGGCAGGGGTGCTGGTGGCAGGGTGAGCCTAGGTTAGAATGCTACTCACATAACCTGGCTCCTCTTTGTGCGTGTATAAGCCAGTACTGGGACTTGAACTTAGGGCCTGAATGTTATCCCTGAGCTTTGTGCTCAAGGCTAGTGCTCAAGCACTTGAGCCACAGCTCTACTTCTTCTGGCTTCTTGGTTGTTTATTGGAGCTAAGTCTCATGGACTTTCCTGCCCAGGCTGGCTTTGAATCCTGATCCTCAGATCTCAGCCTCCTGAGTAGCTAGGATTACAGGTGTGAGCCACCAGTGCCCAGCAACTCTTGGCTTTTTGGTGGTTAACTGAAGTCTTACCCAGGCTGTCTTTGAACTGTGATCCTCAGATCTCAGCTAGAGTTACAGGGGTGAGACACCAGCACTCTCCTCTAGATCATGCTGGAGAGATTGGGAAAGGGGTGAAGACTAAAGCCCTCCTCCAGTCTGGGGCTGTTCCCATCTGGGACACTCCCATCCCAGGGTTCCATTTACCCTCCACAGGGGAGCCAGGAGGTGGCTCCAGGCTCCTCCGAAGCTCCAGCTCCAGTTCCACGTTCTCCTCCACCAGCTGGTCCACCTGATGCCTGAGAGAGCCCAGCTCCTGGGGGGAGGGGGAAGAGCAGCAGGGTCAGCCCTCCCCACCATTGTAGGGCCAAGTCAGAGTGCAGGCCCAGCATCTCTGGAGGGCACCAATAGGAGAGGTCACTTGAGATTTGGGGGGTGAGGGAAGGACAGGATCTTTCAGGCGGCCTCACCGCGTGGGCCTCGCCCAGCCGGGTGCGCAGCAGCAGGTTCTCGCGCTGGGTCTCGTGGAGCCGCGCGGAGCGCTCCCGGGCGGCCTCCAGCTGCTCCTCCAGAAGCGCTTTGGAGGCCTCCAAGGCCCCTGAGAGCGCCCGCTCCTCCTGGCGGGACAGCAGGGGGAATGGGTGGCGTGATGCGACCTTCATGTGCGTCAGGGCCTTGGGGGATCCCAAACCTTTGCTCCAGACCCGACCATTGCCTTCCCTCCATCTCTCCCCTCCACCGGCCCAACTTCCTAAAGCAGGGTGCCTCCAAGTACCCCGCCCGGTAACCTGCCTCCGCCCTCCAGCACAGCCCCCTCCCCTTCCCTCGGGACCGCCTTTCTAGGCTCCCGGGGTCTGGTCCGACCCACCTCCTTACCACTTGGCCCCGCCCTTCTCTCGGGACCTCCCTCACTTCGCCCCCATCTGTCACTTCCATCGGTCCATCCTTCAAAGCGCCTGCCCCACCACCACCTCCCTACGTGGATTCCCATATATTTCTCCTTCGGTGATTGCTCCCGTTACAAAGCCTGATCCTTGACCCTTTCTAGGCCGAGAACGCTCCCGCACGGCTCGCCCCCAGACCATACCCACTGCGTGGCCTGCCCCCAGACCGCGCCCATAGTGCCCCGCCCCCAGAGAGCCCGCCCCGACCACGCCCCCATAGAGAGCACCGCCCCGACCACGCCCATATTGCGGCTCGTCCAGACCACGCCCACCGAGAGTCCCGCTCCGGAATACCTCACCCTCCTACAGACCCTCAGAGACCACGCCCACATAGAGGCCCGCCCCCAGAATGCCCCTCCCGACCACGCCCACAGAGGGGGGCTCGCCCCAGGACACGCCCCATGTTCCCCCCACCTGGTCCCCCAGAGCACCCTGCCCCTCCCCACGCTCCTGCCACGCCCCCGATCGCCCCGCCCCGCCTCGCGCCCACCTCCAGCCGGCCCCGGCAGGCCTCGGCCTCCTGCAGCCGCTCGCGACAGCGCCGCAGCTCCTCCTGCAGGCGGGGCAGGCGTCCCGCCCGCTCCCGCAGCGCCTCTGCCTCCTCGCGGTACAGCTCGGCACGCTTGGCCGGTCCCGACAGCGCCTGGGCCTGGGCCAGACGCGGACCCAAGGGATTAGAGACTGGAAGGAGCACCGGGCCTGGGGCGAGGGGAGGCCGCGGCGGGAGCCCCTGAGCGCACCTCCTGGCGGAGCTTTCGAATTTCCGCCTCCAAGCCCTGCACCTCCGCCTGCGAGTCCAGCAGCAGCTCCGCCTTCTCTTCCCTGGACCGACAGAGCGAAGGAGGCTTCTGCGAGCTGCAACCCCCAGGCTTGAAGGGCCTGACCTCTCTTACCCCCAACCAGGGCTGGGGTCCACATCCTACCCTCATCTTCTCCTTTCCCACCCATGTTTCCTTCCCATCCCACGAGCACTCACAGCTCCTGCCGCAGGCGCCGCACCTGGGCCTTGGCATTGGCCAGCTGCAGCGCCAGGTGGTGCGAGGCACCGTCCCCCCCGGGAGCCCTCACGGGGGCCTCGGCCGGCAAGGGGGGCTGCTCCTGCTCCAGCAGCAGTTCCGCCAGCCGCTGTGGGACACAAAGGGTCAAGGGTCGGCGGTCACCATCCCATGCCTCTCTGCATAGCCCCCCTACCACCCCCACAAGAGGAATTTGGGTTGTGATAGCATGACAGTCAAGGCTCCAGACCCCAGCCACACCTTCCTCCCTTCCTCTCCCCCACACATCCGGGTCCGTGATGTCTCCACTGTCCCCTACCTGGGCCCCCAGGTCACGCTCCCGGACCAGCCTGGACAGTGTCCCCGTGAGGCTCCGGAACATCGTCTCCAGCTCTGAGGCCTCCAGCTCCCCAGGGTCGGGTCCAGCCAGTGACAGAACCACACCTGCCCCGGGCTGGGTCACCTGAGGCCAAGGGGAACAGTTCAGCTGAAGGGTGGCCAGGATGTCCCCTGTGGCAGTGCCAGTCCCCGGGATGTTCACATGCCCCGGTACCTCCTGGATGGTGGAAGCCAGCTCGCTCTGCACCTCGAGGCTGAGACCCTGGATGTGACGGATGAAGAGTTCCCGGTGCTCACACTGTGGGGGACAGGAGTTGGGAGGCCGGCACAGGGACCCTCCTGCTCACCAAAGCCCCGCCCTCCCTTGCCCTCCCCTCCCCTCCCTCCTCACCTGCACCGATGCCCCCAACAGCAGCCGAAGAATGCCTTCCAGCTCTTCCATGGCCTCCTCTGCAGAACACAAGGCACAGAAGGGTCAAGGGGCGGTCGGAGGGGGTGCAGGCGTAGAAGCCAGAGAGCTGCTGGGGGACAGCACCTGAGAGGGGATCAAACCCCAACGTCTGGAAATCGGGGGGTGACGACAGGATCAACAGCTGCAGCTCCTCCTGGAGTAGGGGACAGGGAGGTGGAAGCCGACGTCCCGCAGGGGGTTCCCCCTCCCCCCACATACCCTCCGAGCTTCTTACCTGGTAGAAGTCTCTCAGCCGGCCCCACAGGTGCTTCAGGTTACAGACCCGCCAGGCTACTGGGCCATCATGGCCCCTGACTATCCGAGGTCCCCCTCGGGAACCGGGGACGCTGCAGGCACAGGCGGCCATGGGTGAGAGGTGGGCTTGAGGAACCATTTTCTCCCACCACTCCCAGGCTCCGCCCATCACCCACAGGCTCCTCCCATCAATCTGAGGCTCCGCCCATCACTCCCAGATCCTCCCATCACCCCAGGCTCCGCCTGTTACCCACAGGCTCCTCCCATCACTCCCAGGCTCCGCCCATCACTCCCAGATCCTCCCATCACTCCCAGGCTCCTCCCATCATCCACAGGCTCCTCCCATCACTCCCAGGCTCCACCCACCACTCCCAGATCCTCCCATCACTCCCAGGCTCCGCCCATTACTCCCAGATCCTCCCACCACTCCCAGGCTCCACCCATCACTCCCAGATCCTCCCATCACTCCCAGGCTCCACCCATTACTCCCAGATCCTCCCACCACTCCCAGGCTCCGCCCATCACCCACAGGCTCCTCCCATAATCTGAGGCTCCGCCCATCACTCCCAGATCCTCCCATCACCCCAGGCTCCGCCTGTTACCCACAGGCTCCTCCCATCACTCCCAGGCTCCGCCCATCACTCCCAGATCCTCCCATCACTCCCAGGCTCCGCCCACCACCCCCAGGCTCTGCCCATCACTCCCAGACTGCACATCACTCCCAGGTCCCGCCCATCATTCCCAGGCTCCTCCCATCACCCACAGGCTCTTCTCATCACCCCAGGCTCCTCCCATCACCCACAGGCTCCTCCCATCACCATCGGGCCTCTCCCTTCCCATCCTAGGGCGGCAGCCATGGCCGGTGATGCCTCTTACACGAGGTCCAGCACCCGAAGGAGCAGGGCCCCATCGCTGAGCCGCAGGAACCTCTTCTCCTCGGACAGGGGTCTCTCTTCTTCCTCCTCCTCTTCCCTGCTCCCTGTTGGCTCCTCCACCTCCCCCACCAATCCAGCCAGTCCCAGCGCCTGCGGGGGACAGACAGGAGTCTGCTAGACCCGCTGAGTGCGCGCCCTGCATCCTCCTCATCTGGGGGTGAGGCAGATCCACAGCTGCAGCTCCTCCTCACCAGGCCCCCTCCCACAAAGTCCTGGGCCGCCTTCCACTCCGCCGGCCCGCCGGACTCCTCCACCCACAGATCGCCCACCCCAGTCCTGCCCCTCCCTGCCCCCCACCCCGCCCCTCACCCAGGTGGCCAGGCTCCGGCTCAGGAAGTCTCTGAGTCTGGGCCCCTGGCCCCCCTCCATGGCAGGGGCCGGGTGTAGTCTCGCTGTGGCAGCTACACCTGCCAGGAGAGGAAGAGGAAGTCCCCGGCGGGGGCATCCCGGCCCAGCCACAGACACCCTATGTAGCTTCCGCCTTCCGGGTTCCTCAGGGCCAGGCGCCCCCAGAGTCCTGCCTTGGCCCCTCCAGACACCCACATCTTCCCAGGGGCTCAGGCAGGGCTGTCCGGGAGGCAGGGGCCCAGCTCATCCTGCTCCTAGCTCAGTGGACAATGATGGGGGGGAGGGTTCTGGCAAAGGGGCTCTGGCTAGCTGTGGAGTATAGATGCCCACAGGTGCATCTTCTGATTTGGGAAGTTTCTTTCACTAGCTCCTCCCCCCTCCCCCCTTTTATTAGTAGTGGTACTGGGATTTGAACTCAGGTTCTTGTGTTTGCGAGTCAGGGAAAGCTACCACTAGAGCCATAACCCTCACCCCCTGGTAGTTCCTGGTTTTATCTAAACACCCCCACGTTCAGCCCGATGCAGACTCTGCCTCCCTAGCTCCACACCAGAACCTCAAGGGCTGGAAGCATGCATGGCTCCTCATTGAGGGCTTAGCTAGCAAGCTCAAGGCCCTGAGTTCAAATCCAAGTACCACTATACTAGGTGCTTTGAAGGGGAGTGGATGTAACCTTGGCAGGATGGCCAGGATTAGGCATCCCAGAGGATGGCAAGAGATCCGGGGTGACTCAGTTCAGTACCCTATAGAGGAAGGCAATAGGGAAGGCTTTTCCAGGCAGGGAGAACAGAGTGTCCAATGGCTCTGAGACAACCAGGACCATTTTATTCTAGGCCGCCTTGTTTACTGTAATGACCATCTCTAAAGTCAGGGTACCAGGTACAGTGCCCACTGGGCCAGCACATGGCCACACCTCACAAGCTCCCGCATCAGATCCTGAAGAGAGTTTTGCCCACTGCTTGGAACATTTTTTTGGGGGGAGAGAGGGTCGGTTGTGGGGCCTGAATGCTGTCCCTCACCTCTTCAGCTCAAGGCTAGTGTTCTACCACTTGAGCCACAGTGCCACTTTCAGACTTTTCTGCTTATGTGGTGCTAAGGAATCGAACCCAGAGCCTCATGCATGCAAGGGAGCCACCTTCCCAGCCTGGAACATTCTAAATCAAGACTCAAATGATGGCAGCTGCTAGGGAGGCGGGCCAGGCTTGTCAGCCACGCTTGCCGCAGCTCTACACACGCACCAGGCTGGCTGAGAGGCTGTTTCATGGAACAGCTGAAGGATGCTGCACTTTCAGACATTCTCCTTGTCAGACACCATGACTCTCAGACCCAGACTCAACAGCAGAAGCTGGCCTCTCAAAGGGAGATTTTGTGAACAGGGTAACCAATTGATGTTGCTTCTCTTCCCCTTTTTTACATGGGAATCGCAATTATGTATGATGGGAACTACATCTAAATCAAACGGAGCTCTTCTGGGAAATCAAAAAGCAAAACTGTGGCAAGGGAAGAGCCTTGGGGGCGCAGTTAACTGGAGAAATTGGTGGTTGTTGTTGTTTCCTTAGTGGCATCTTTTACGATTGATGATATCTTAAGAGTTGATGAAATATGGGGTGATAATAGCTTCCCAGGAGCCAGACGTGGTTCTAAAGACTTTATACTTATTAACTTATTTGTTTGGTAAGATTAAAAATGATGGATTACTCCTCAAGTTACAGAGGAAGAAACTGGAGGCACAGAGAGGTTAAGAAACTTGCCGAAAGCCACATAGCTAACAAGTGGTAGAAAGAAGGCAGCCGGGAAATGGGTGAAAAGAGCAAGGTTAGTCCAGAAGCATATCCAGGTGTTGACTCCCAGAAGACAGCTGGAAATGGAATGCGGTCTCATGAGAGATCAGCCAGGTGTGACCCACCACGAAGCCCTGTCTGCCTCACATCCTCCAGAGGCTGCGGCCTGGGAATTCCTCTTGCCCCCCCTTCCCTCTTGCTGGCCCTGCAGCCAGGCGTGATGACTGCGGTTCACCTCTCTCAGGGCCCAGGGAGGCCCCGGCCTTGCTCAATATCTGAGTCACACCCTTCCTCAGGCCTCAAGGCAGGGGCCCGTGTCCGGATTGCTCTCACATCCGTCAGTTGGACAAGCCTGGCTGCACCTCCATCTGTCCTCAGCGGGCCAGGGGGGCGGGGCTGCTCAGCTGACTCTGTGAATTGGACTTTAAATGTTTGCTTTAATACTGACACCAGAGCTTGAACTCAGAGCCACTCACTCTCACTTGACTTCCATGCCCCACTTGAGTCACACAGACCTCTAGTCTGGTATTTTTGCTGGTTCCTTGTAGATAAGTGCCCTAAGGGCTTTTACCCCACAGGCTAGCCTTGAACCTGGGTCTTCTGAGCCACTAAAATAATAGCTGTGAGACACTAGCACCCAGCTTTAAACGCTCTGTGTGTGTGTGTGTGTGTGTGTGTGTGTGTGTGTGTGTGTGTGTGTGTGTACTGGGACTTAAACTCAGGGCAAAGCCTGGACACCTCCTTTAGCTCTTCTGCTCAAGACTGGTACTCTACTACTTGAGCCATAGCTCCACTTCCAAGTTTTGCTCGTTAATTGAAGGTAAGAAGCTCTTTCCTGCCTGGGCTAACTTTGAATGAAGATTCTCAGATCTCAGCCACCTGAGTGGCTAGGATTACAGATGTGAGCCAACAGCGCCTGGCTTTCAACATTTTCTGAGCACTGGTGGCTCATACCTATTATCATAGCTACTTTGGAAGCTGAGATCTGAGGATCACAGTTCGAAGCCAGTCTGAGCAGGAAAGTCTATGAGACCTTTATCTTCAATTAATTAACAAAAAGCTACACGTAGAGCTGTGTTTCAAGTAGTAGAGTGCCAGCCTTGAGCAAAAAAGCTCAGGGACAATGCCTAGGCCTTGAGTTCAAGCTCCAGGACCCGAGTTAAAAGAAGGAGGGAAAGAAAGGATAGGCTAGGAAAAGAAAGGGTCCATAAACGTGCAGAGAGTAACTGCTATGTCCCACCCTCTCTCTTGGCCTCTGAGGCCACCACTGGTCCAGTTCTTTTTTTTTTTTTTTGTGGGGGGGGGGTCCGGTCGTGGGGCCTGAACTCTGGGCCTGGGCACTGTCCCTCAGCTCTTCAGCTCAAGGCTAGCGCTCTACCACTTGAGCCACAGCGCCACTTCCAGCTTTTTTTCTTTTTACTTATGTGGTGCTGAGGAATCGGACCCAGGGCCTCAGGCATGCAAGGCAAGCGCTCTACCACTGAGCCACCTTCCCAGCCCCCACTGGTCCATTTCTTGTGTCCTTTCCTGAGGTCCTGATGAGCCTGTAGCAAGCCAGCACAGCCACGCATGCTCTGTACCTTCCTTGTTTCACTGGGTATTTTGCAATCTTTTTTTTTTTCAGTACTAGTGCTAGAAGCCAAGTCCCTCCTTATGTTCAGCACATACCTCAATCCTCAGACCTTAGCCTCCTCAGTAACTAGGATTACAGAGATTACAGACGTGAGCAACTGGTGCCTGGCCATCTCTGGCACTTTTAAGAGGGCTTAGTGACCTCTGCTGTCCAGCAGGGGGACCCAGGAGATGGCTGGAAAGCAGGGATGACATACAAATGGACAGCATGGTCAGTGAGCCGCCTCCTCCCTCAGCCCCGCTTCATCTGTCTAGGAAAGGCGGGGTGGGACCCCATCTCCCAGTTCTCTTTGAGTTTTAAGTTTCTAGATAGCTCAAGTCCCACCCCACCCCCCAAGACCAGAAGCAGGGGGGCCTAGGCGCTGAAGGCAGGTGGGGTCCAGTGACAATTCTGAGCGAACCACAGCTGAGTCACAGAGATGCCCAGCGCAGCTCCAAAGCCCACCCAGCAGCCCAGCAGCCTGGCCGGGACACAGTTCTTATGTCACCATCACCCTGGATCTCATCTTCCCTCCCTCCCCCTTCGCTACCCACTCCAGCTTGGCCCTCTGCCCTGGGCCTTCGCGTATGCTGCTCCCCATCCTGAGATACCTCCCGCCCCTCCATATTCTGTTTCTTGGTTTCTGTGTGTGTGTGTGTGTGTGTGTGTGTGTGTGTGTATCTCCCCCTTTCCTTTCTGTCTCCCTCTCCTTCTCCTTCTCCCTCTCTCTCTATGCCTGGATAACACCATGAGCCTTAATCTCAAATTTCCTACATTGGGAGCTGGAAATTTTCCTCTCTTGTTCTATTTTTCCCATTTTAATACTATTATACCAAAAAAAGATCCTTGCTAAAACATTACACACACACACACACACTAAAGGCAGGCCCAGGTAAACTCACACCTGTAATCCTAGCTCCTTGGGAGGCTGAGATCTGAGGATCATAGTTCAAAGCCAGCCTGGATAGAAAAGTCCCTGAGAAGGGCTGGGAAGGTGGCTCAGTGGTAGAGCGCTTGCCTTGCATGCCTGAGGCCCTGGGTTCGATTGCTCAGCACCACAAAAGCAAAAAGAAAAAAGCCGGAGGTGGCGCTGTGGCTCAAGTGGTAGAGTGCTAGCCTTGAGCTGAAGAGCTGAGGGACAGCGCTCAGGCCCAGAGTTCAGGCCCCATGACTGGAAAAATAAAAAAAGAAAAAAAAAATCTCTGAGAGCGGGGCGCTGGTGGCTCACGCCTGTAATCCTAGCTACTCAGGAGGCTGAGATCTGAGGATCGCGGTTCAAAGCCAGCCCGGGCAGGAGAGACCGTGAGACTCCTATCTCCAATAAACCACCAGAAAACCGGAAGTGGCGCTGTAGCTCAAGTGGTAGAGCACTTGCCTTGAACTGAAGAGCTGAGGGACAGTGCCCAGGCCCAGAGTTCAAGCCCCAGACTGACAAAAAAAAAAAAAAAGGAAGAAAAGTTCCTGAGACTTTTTCTTTCCATTGTAGGGCCTGACCTCTGGGCACTGTCCCTCAGTTCTTCAGCTCAAGGCTAACACTCTACCACTTGAGTCACAGTGCCACTTCTGGCTTTTTCTGCTTATATGTGCTGAGGAATTGAACCCAGAGCTTCATGTATGTAAGGCAAGCACTCTACCACTAAGCCACCTTCCCAGTCCCAT